ACAAGAAACATGTCTTTGTTCTGAGGAACTGTTCTCATCTTACCAGGGTTCACTTGTGTTCGTTCAAAAACATTGAACTGGATTTTCTCAAATACCAGTTCCAAGGCTCAAATTTCATGTACTCTATTAGTTTCTGTTACTTGTATTAATACATTGAAACGAGTTCTCGGTATCGATTTATATTTTTATTAAATGAATCAACTTACTATACATTACTATTTTAGTGAAATTGATAGTATCAGTTATAATGAGGAAATTAAGCAGTTGGATAAAATTTAGTTATAAAAAAAAGTAAAAGAAAAATGAAATTCTATCAAAATATTGGTTATTATGTTATATAAAATCACAAGAATCTTTATTGTAATATACACCCATATTATTCACATATAGAGATGCTTGTATTAAATTTCTGTCAGCAGGATATGTTGGTATATCGAAATTCTAATATTTAAATTTTATGTATGTAGGTGCAGGTTGAGGAGATAAATTCTGTTGCTCAAAATGGTCGAGCCCCAGTTTTGCAAGTAATCGAAGAAACTGGAATCAGGAGGTAGAAAATTTCCTTCTATTTTTAGTTTTTGGTGGTAACGTACGACAAGTAAAATGCCACTTATATATTGCATAATAACTGTAAAGTAATATAAACATTTTGAGCTTTTAAGGGGAAAAGTGAATCAATTGAAGACATGACTTGGAAATTGGACGTCTTCGATCCAGTTCTACTGTCTAGTGTCTACTAACCTAAAAGATTAGCCTTATAGGAGTAAATAATCATGAATATTTGAGCAATGAGTTTTTGTTTTCATTTCAATATTTCTTTTTCTTTATTCTTTGGTTCTCTCCACCTATCAGCATTTGAACTAGAACTAGAATGTTACAGTTTTCTGTTTATTTAACTTAATGGAAAGGGCAAAAAAATTGCTAATTTAGAGTAGTATTTCTGGATATTGTCTAGTAGTTCAGAAATCAGAATGAACTATTTGCAATTGATCCATGGACAAGTTTGTGATATATGCATTTTTGTTCAATTAGCAGATTCGACAGTAGATTATGCACGGAAGAAACGGCAGACTCCATTTATGGCAAGTTTTCTTTGCCAACCCTTATGATTGGTGGGATAATAGGAAGAGTAAACCTCAGCAAAATTATCCAGACATTAAGCACAAGGATACTGTTGACGTCTGGATCGAACAACAACTCCAATTGTAAGATTATAGATCGAGGGAATGAAGTCCCGAAAACACATTAGTCGTTGTTGGTTTGTGAGGATGCCCAAGGAATTGAAACTCAGATACAGGTCTCAAGTAGTGAAAATGAGAAGCAAATATACTCTCCGTTCAACTTTTTTCCAGTAACTTGGGTTGCTGCAAGTCAAAAGCAGATTAATTCAGGGCAATTGAGAGTGATTTGCAGCACAAGAACTTTGGCATTTCATTCCACTTATATACAACCTAAAAACTATACAAGCAAAATACATACAAAGAGAATATTCCGATTCTTCAACCAACCTAATGCCAGGTGGCATAAGAACTTATATTCTTAATTCAAAATCGGAATCAGTGTGAGGAGTGCAAGCACTAAAAATTCTGTTATGATGCTCATTTGTTAGTGATGCAAATTCTCACATTACTCTAACACCCCCTCTCAAGGTAGAGTGTATCTCTAACACTCCAAACTTGTCTCTAAGGAATAAGAATTTGGAATGTGAGAGTGGTTTCGTAAGTCCACTGTCTGATCTCATGAGGGCACATAATTAATTTTCAATTCACCTCTCAAAACTTTATCTCTAACGAAGTGAACATCAAGTTCTATATGCTTGGTTCGTGCATGATAAACTGGATTTGAGGCTAATGCACTTGCACTTAAGTTATTGCACCAAATTTTAGGGATTGGCATCTGAGGTACTTCCAATTCTTTAAGTAAGGACTGGATCCATGTAATTTCAGCTGCACTGTGAGCCAGGGCTCGATACCCTGCCTCAGTACTTGACCTTACTACCACTTGTTGTTTCTTTGAACACTAGGATACTAGGTTGTCTCCAAGGTAAACACAGTAGCCTACAGTAGATCTTCTATCGTCTGGACATGATGCCCAGTCAAAGTCTACATATGAAATTATATCAAGGCTGTCGTTCTTACGAATTACAAGTCCATAGTTTAGTGTTTCCTTTAAATATCTGAATACTCTTTTTAGTGCTTTCCAATGAGCATTTGTGGGTGTTTGAAAGAATTGACTCTTTCTATTGACTGCATATGTAACATGAGGTCTTGTGTGAGCTAAGTACTGAAGAACTCCAATAGCGCTCTTGTACAAACATGGATCTCTCATAGGTCATCCTTCAGTTTTGGAGACCAATTTCCTAATTGCCATTGGTGTTAGACTTGGTTTGAGGTTCTCATAACTGAACCTTTTGAGTAGATCAGTAGCATACCTTTTTTTGAGTTAGATATAAACCTGATATATCCATGTGCACCTCCATTCCCAGAAACCGAGGTTCCCAATATCCTTAAGAGCAAACCATGTGTTCAGATTGTCAATAACTTCCTGGAGTTTCTGACTGTTATTCCCAGTTATTATGATATTACCCATATAGGCAAGTGCAAACAATTTTTCTTCACCATATGCAGAGAAGAAAAGTGAATTGTCGCTTGGGATTGTTTGAAGTTCCATTTCATCAAGGTAGTTTTCAGCTTTTCATGCCAGGCTCTAGGAGCCTGTTTCAGTCCGTATAAGGCTTTCTTTAGCTTGCATGCGAAATTAGGATTCTCCTTATCCACAAAGCCTCGAGGCCGATCCATATATACTACTTCATTCAACTTGCCATTTAGAAAAACATTGTTTACATCAATTTGCCTGATATGCCAATCTCTTGTAACAACAAGAGTTAAGATGATTTTTAGAGTTGATGCTTTGATAACTGGACAGAAAGTTTCTCCATAGTCAACACCTTGTGTTTGAAGAAAACCATTGGCAACTAACCATGCTTTGTGTCTCTGAACCTTTCCTTCCGTGTCACGCTTTAAACTGAACACCCATTTGTTTCCAATTACTTTCATTCCAGCCCCAGGAGGTACCAATGTACATGTTTCATTTTTCACCGAAGCATTGCTCTCCTCTTGTATTGCTTTCTTCCAATCATTGCTTTGTAAGGTGTCATCAACTGATAGAGGTTCAGTTTCACTTTGTGCCTGACTTGTATAGACCTTGGGCTTGAAAATTCCTGCCTTGCTTCTGGTGATCATATGATGACCAGCAGCTTGTATGACATTTTGATCCTGAATGTTAAGTTCATTACTTACACCTTGAACTCCATATTTCCCTTGATTGATGTCCTCAAGCTCCTGATCAGTTTGTTCATTTTGGAATAACCTTTGATTGTCAGCTTCTCTTATTTCAAACTCCAACTCATGGCTTGGTTCTATATGAGAAGAATCTGCCGCAGATAGTGTCTCTGAGTGAGTTGTATCAACTATGTTATGATGGATTGTTCTGTGACTAGACTCAGTGTTAAAAGGAAGAAGACTTACAGTAATTTGGGAATTTTGTGGTTGACACTTTCTGTTTAGGAAGCCTGACTTGAATGGAAAGTCTAACTCATTGAATATTACATATCTTGAAATATAAATTCTACCATTTGGGCTTAATCATTTATAGCCTTTGTGTGTGTCACCATAACCAAGAAATACACTTCTCTGTGAGTGGAAACTAAACTTGTGTTTTTGGTAGGGTCTATTGCAGGGATAACACGTACAGCCAAATGTTTTGAGAGTCTTGTAATCAAACTCTCTTCCATATAGCACTTGAAAATGTGATTTGTGTTTAAGTATGGGAGTTGACAGTCTGTTGATCAGGTATGTTCTGACTTAAATGATTCCCACCAGTAGTATAGGGGCATTTTTGCTTGTGCCAACAAGGTTAGTCTGGTTTCAGTGATGTGTCTATGTTTCCTCTTTGTTCTACCGTTTTGTGCTGATGTGTAGTATATGAATACCTAAGTTCTATGCCAAATTCAGAGGTGATTTTGTTAAAGGTTCTGAACTCTCCTCTCCTATCAGATTGTAGGGCTTTGATTTTCCTTTCAAACCTGTTTTTCACAAGATTTTTGAACTGAATAAAGGTGGTAAGTGCTTCAGATTTGTGTTTCAAGGGATAGATCCATGTAAATCTGCCATGATCATCCACAAAGATTATATAATACTTAAACCCTGTGGTAGAATTTAGAGGTGCAGGTCCCCAAACATCAATGTGAATTAAGTCCAACGGCTTTGAAGCATGTGAAGAGGATATTTTAAAAGGTAATGCATGTGATTTTCCTAATTGACAGGATTTACAGAAAGCTAAAATTTCATTAACTTCGGAAAGTTTATTACAAGACTTCATAACTTGACTCAAAACATGGTTTGATGGGTGGCCTAGTCTTCTGTACCACACATTGATTTCAGACTTAAGTGGCTTGATTGGTTTGGTTAGTTCACCACAACTGGACTTCACTGTGAAACAGGTGGAGTTGTTTTGGATGTCTGACTCTTGGGTTGTGAGTTTGGGGCTGGAGCTTGGTAATCTCAGCTGGTATAACCCATCTTTAAGCACTCCCTACAGCAGGATCTTCTTGGTTTCTAGATCATTGACAACACAGAAGTTAGAATAAAACTCCATGAAGACATTGTTGTCATTTGTTAGTTGAGAAACACTAATTAAGTTCTTCTTAATTGCAGGCACAAGTAGTAATTTATTCAGAGCAAGAGACTTGTTATCAAGTGAAGGAATACCTCATTTTCCAACATGTGAAATTTCCAAAGAATTTCCATCACCAATTAGAACTTTCTCTTTACCTTCATATCTCTTGGCAATGGACAGGTTCCTTTTTTATCAGCTGTGACGTGATTGCTTGCACCAGTGTCTGCAAACCAGGCTGAGTATTCAAAAAATTGAGGTGAGGCTACAAATGCAGCAGGAGTTGAGCTGCTGTTTTGCTGATTTTGATTTGCAGGCCTGCTTCCCATGAATCTATCATCATATCTGTTGAAACACCAACTTGTTGAGTGATTGTTCAATCCACAAATCTGACAGGTCCTCTACTTTCACTTTGCCTATTAGTTCTGCCTCTAAAGTTTCCAGATCTCCCTCTAAAGAACCTGCTACCTCCGAGCTTATCCTTTGAGAAAGTTACACACTTGACTGACCAACATTGAGTGAAGCAAAGTCGCTTCTTACTTGATTTAAGTACTCAAGTTTACTTTCAAAGGTCATGAGTACAGATGACAACTTATGCCATGATATATTTTCACGGCTGTTGATCTGCACAACAATAGGAGTATACTCATCATCCAGATCTGACAAAACTCGAGTTACCGGATCACTATGATCCACTGGTTTTCCAACCACCTGAAGTTGTCAGCAAGTTGTTTGATGGTAGAAAGGCATTGATCCATAGTCATAGATTCCTTCCTTGTTCTCCGCAGTTCACCAGTAAGGAATACAATCTTTGATTTGTTCAGAATACCATAGCTTTCTTCTACAGCAGTCCAGAGTGCTTGAACTGGTGAAACCCATCACTCTCATTGCTATCTCAGGCATCATGGATGAATATAACCATTCCATTAGAAACTGATCAGTTGAAATCCATTTGTTATATTTAACATTTAGAACCATTTCCACTGCTTCTCCTCCACTTGTAGTTGTCTGTGTAGCTAGGAATTATGGTGGACAGTCCTTAGTTCTGAGTAGGTAGTTTTCGAGATTATGCCCTCTGATTATGAGCATAATTTTATTCTTCCAAAGCAAGAAGTTGTTTATGTCAAGCTTGACAAATGGGGTCCGTGTAAGGTTCATTCCAAACGATGAGGCTTGAATCATTCTACTTTGGATGGATGGTGTGAACTGATTTGTTGCATCGGCGTTGGCCATTTTTGGCTCTGATACCAAGTCAAAAAACAGATTAATTTAGGGCAATTGAGAGTGATTTGCAGCACAAGATCTTTGGCATTTCATTCCACTTATATACAACCTAAAAGCTATACAAGCAAAATACATACAAAGAGAATATTCCGATTCTTCAATCAATCTAATGCCAGGTGGCAAAAGAACTTATATTCTCAATTCAAAATCGGAATCAGTGTGAGGAGTGCAAGCAATAAGAATTCTGTTATGATGCTCATTTGTTAGTGATGCAAATTCTCACATTACTCTTAACACTGCAGCACCAGGCGTTTATGATGTTTGGATCTCATAGCTTCCCTTGCTTTAAGA